TGTGCAGCGCGCTGGGAGAGGTGCCGCGCTGCCTGGCCGCAGCGCTGGCCTGGCTGCCGGAGCCCGCACGCCCGCACCTCAGGTAGAGGATGTTGGGGATGGGGGGGTTGGTTGGAGAAAGAGAAAGAGGAGGGGGAGCTGAGGGTATGCCTCGTCATCGCGCCGGCATGGTTCTCAGGGGCCACCCCGTGTCGACCGGCCAGGCACCTTGATCTGTTGCCCTCTCATGCCCCTGCATCCCCCGAATCCACCACTCGTAACACAACCCGAGCCTCTCTAGGTCCGCGCTGGACCAGCTGGCGGCCGTGTCCCTGGAGCTGGTGCTGCCCACGCTGAGCGCGCTGAGCGACCACCTGGAGGAGGGCGTGCTGGCGCTGCACGCGCACGGCGCATGGCGCGCCGAGGCGGCCGATGTGGTGGAGACATCGGAGCCCATGCGGCGCCTGCTGCAGCGCGTCGCACACGCCAGGTGGGTCCTGGCTGGATGTTTCTGGAAGGGGAGGAGTGCTGTAGGGGTTTGGGGGGAGGGCCGGGGAGGGGTGCCTGTGGATGCTTCCACCTGGCGCCCAGCCAAAGGTGGGCAGCAGGCTGCCTGGGTGTACGTCCTGCATGGCAACGGCGCTGGGCCCCATGCAGAGCATGGAAACACCCCCAAGCAAGCTCATCCATGCACGCCGCCGCGCAGGCAGGAGTACCTGTCGCGCTTCCCGGCGTCCACGCTGCTGCCGCCCGCCGCCTCCGCGGCAGGCAACCTCCAGGGATCCGCCCCGACACCCACCGTCCCGCGCGCGCTGGCACAGCGCCTGGCCGCCCGCCTGCTCTCCGTGTATGTGCGCCACGCGTCCCTGCTGCGCCCGGTGAGCCACGCGGGGGCGCTGCAGCTGGCCAAGGACGCGGGGGAGCTGGAGGCGGCGGCCGCGCAGCAGCTGGCGCCCCTGGACGCCCTGCAGGCGCCGGTCGGCCGCCTCCGCGCCTTCCGAAGGGCCCTGTTCATGGACGCGGCGGCGCTGGGCGCGGGTGCGGCGGCGGCGGCGGCTGGCGGTGGGAAAGGTGTCGCAGGAGGCAAGGCCGCGGGGCCCCAGGCCGGGGAGCTGCCACCCTCGGTCGTCCTGCACCTCTTGTTCTCCAGGGCGCCGGCCGCCGTCGCCTCGCCCCACGCACGCCAGGGCCTCACTCCTGCCCAGGCGAGGAAAACGGAATGGTGGATGAGCGTGTCGCACAGGGCGCGCAAGACTGGAGTTTGGAGGCTGCTTCTATCCACAGTGCTTCTCCTTCCATGTGACATACTGGCCAGCGTGGCCATCCAGGCAGGCTCCCACTCCATCACCGTCTCTGAATGCCATTTCTTTCCCCCAAACAACTCTGCAGTATTCCCTGTGGCTGGACGACCACTCGGAGGCGGAGGCGCTGGCGTTCATCGCCGCGGCCGTGATGGCCGGCGAGGCGGCGCTGAAGCAGCGGGGGCAGGGCGAGGATGCCACGCTCGCGGCCATGCGCATGGTGCTGCAAGCGCACGCGCCGCCGACAGGGGCCTGAGGAGGGCAGCCGGGATGACTGATTGCTCCAGTTGTTAGGTAATCCGACCCCCGGCTTTGGTCTGGAAGTGTGGCTGTCGCTTACATGGAAGGCGTCATGCACTTGACAAGTTTGTGTATGTGTCTTTGGGAGGATCAAAGTGTCCATAGACAGAGGGTGGAGGTTCTCAGAGATCGAGCGTCGTGGAACCTGCAGGAATCATACCACATGAAAATTATTGCCAGGTATGGCACAGTGCCTTGATGGCAAGGCGCCCTTATTGGAAGAGGGATAGGGTGGGGTGGGAACTAACCCAACATCAGGTAATGTAAGTCAACGCGTTCAGACGTTTCGTGGTTTGAATCGGAGAGCAGGAGAGGTGTATAGTTGTGTGGTCAGTGAGCCGTCGATCAATGGCTACCTCCTGTCGAAGTCCTACACCCCGAGGGCCAGATACTCCCTCAAGCACTGCTGCAGCACGTGGAAGGAATCATATACTTCCGCCAGGCACAACCCCATGTCATTCGTGTGGCCGTCCCGTGCCAGCCTGTCGAGGGCAGAGAAGCGTGCGGCCAGGGCAGGGGCGCCCAGGCTCGCACTGCTACCCTTCATTTGGTGGGCCAGGGCTGCAGCCGCCTCCCCATCGTGGGACATGACTGCCTCCTGCAGGCTCATGAGCTTCTTGCGGCTGTCATTCAGGAACAGATCGATAATGCCCCGCACGAAACCAGGGTCGCTGGGGTCCTGCATGGGGCCGCTCGATCGGAATGTTGACTTGGGCATGTCCGGCATGGTCAGGGGAGCATGTCATAACAATATTCTTGAAGCACAAAGACTTAAGTCCCACCTGCAGGGAGAGCAATTCGCGGAACTGGTCGTTCAGGATGCCGGCGGTAATGGCCCGTGTGAGGAATTCTTCGAGGCCCTCAGTCATGCAGGCGCAACGCAGCGTGCAGTGATTAGGGCAAACTGGCGCATGAAGCTGGGTAGGAAAATTGCCTCGGGTCTACACTGAACGATGTTGGGAGATCGTGCTTATAAGGAAGGGACGGCACGTGCTGCCATAATCCACGTCGTTCCCTCCACCGGAGTCTTAACCCATACTGCACAGCAGTTCCTAGGGAACTGCCGGCGATGGGACCGGCTGCATCTATGATTCATGGCCGTCAGCCATCTTTCGATCATAGATGTGCACTATTCACCCCACAGGTGGAGCTAGGAAGTGGCGGGACATTTCCAGCATCGCAGGGAAAGGGAAGGTGTTAAGTCTGCTGCTGAGGGATAGACGCATCTGTGCAATGTGAAGCTTATAAAGGAGTCCTGCATAGCGGATAATCACGCCCGCACGACACACCGCCCACCCCCCTTGGCCAGAATCACACCACGGACCACCAGCTGTCTCCCCGCCAAACAATATCCCGCAGTAGGCTGGGCAACGCACCACGTCACTGCCGCTGAATGGCAGGGTGTCGCCCTCTGGTCTCCACAGTCGGAGATAGCCCCCGCCCATGGCAAAGCGCGCCGCATCCGCTCCCATCTTGAGAGGGGAGGCAGCAAAAGGCGGCAGACTGCTTCAGCAGGCAAATGAGGGCCAAAATTAACCTTGCATCTGGTGTGGATCCCATGTTTCTCAGCTACCAGCTCAGCAATCAGGCAGGCAGAGCGTGTGGGGGGCGGGAGTCCCTTCAGACGGGCAAAAGAGAGGAGGGGACCGCCCCTCCTCTGGCACCCCTCCTTGTGTCGCTTGCGGCCTCGACGGGGGTCCGCCCCGGGCACGACCAACAGTTGCAGGCAGTGCTCCATCTACCTTTCACTCTATACTTTACGATTTTAATGTTATTTAGACACAACAATGTGCCGCGTGCGGCCCGTTCGCACCCCGACGGGACATTCCATGTCCCTGTAAAGTTCGAGAATCTATCAACTAAACGAGGGGATCTCGCAAGGCGAACAAGCACTTGAAGTCACAGGAAAAGCTTTTTCAGCAATGCTTGAGGGGTAACATGTCATTTGAAGTGCGAGTTGTGACTTGTCCCAGGGGGGCGATAATGTGGTGAAAGAACGGTACTCAGCAGCGGTGTGCCCTCTTGCTGTGCCGTGGCAGACTAATCGAGGTTCATGCTGTTTTGTTATGGTGTTGTGAATGTCAGACAAACCTTCAAGGACCCTTGGTATCTGTGCAACAGGAGATCCTCAGTGAGTGCTGAAACCCTGATATTTGCCAGAAGTGGTCTCTTCTCTTCAGCATCTGAACCTCCCAAGTTTGTAGGACTCGACATTCTCAGTTGAGCCCTAATGCAAAGACTGTTTGGTTCCCATGGACGAACTTTGCTGAAACTGAGTCCTGAAAGACAGTGAGGCACCACTCGTGGTGATTCCTCTGCAGCTATCTCCAGCTCATGACTGAAATGGATGCTGGCCCCTCACATGTTGCCTAGCACTTGGAAATGCATAAGCCCGCGTGGCACTTGACTGTGAAGCCACAGACAGGCCCAGACCGACATCCTGTGTATCCTTGGCAATCACTTCGGCGTGGAATCTGTGCGTCTGCGCTCTCTGGCCAGAGCATATCAAGGGTAGGGCACCAGACCTGTCGCAATGACACGCCAGTGACGCTGGGAGGAGCGGGGGCTCGGGGACACTGACTTATATGCATGCGTTGCTCTGACCCGCCTCTATGGGCCCTTTCTTTGAATTGTAACAGATTACCACGTGCAATCATGCCAGCATTCATGCGAGGGACACTGAACAGCGAAGGGAGCACATACGGCAGAGAAGGGTTTGTGTGCACATTTGGGGCAACAGGGCAAGGAGTGAGTGTACAGTACTGGAAAAGGGCATCCTGTATCGCCCGCGGTTCCCAACAAAAACATGGTAGACTGAGCATCGCAGGCTGGAGTACTTCATCCTGCAAGGCGTCAGCAGAGGCAACCCATCAGAGGCACCCATCACGGCACCAACTGCACGGGGCTTACTGTGTCACCCGGCACCGTCGCGCCATTCTTTCCTGCCACCGACAGCTCAATGCGGGTGCCGTCCGCAGAGGCCTTGACCACGATCTTGTCCTCCTCTTGGAAGTCACCGCGCAGGATGCCTGTGGACATGGGAAGGGTTTGGGTTATGTGATCAGGAATGGGAGACAGGCTGGGGGATACTGGGCAGCATGCATAGGGTTTGGTCTCTGGGGATCCATGGAGCACAGGCCTCAGACCTTGGCACCCCAAATGTCAGAGCCTTAGCTCAGCTAAAAATAGTGTATAGGATAGCCAAGTTGTATAACTACTCCTCTACACTCCCACCCTCTAATACCCCCCTCCCGTCCCCTTAACAATCTACTCACCCTTGGCGAGCGCGGTTTCCAGCTCCTGCTGCACCACCCGCTTGACGGGTCGGGCGCCAAAGGCGGGGTCGTAACCACGCTCCACCAGGTAGTCCACCGCGGTGGGCTCCAGGCGCAGGCCCATCTTCTTCTCGGCCAGGCGCTCTGCCACGCGCCGCGCCTGGATCTCCACGATGCTGCGCAGCTGGGAGCGCTGCAGACCCTGGAAGACGATGAACTCGTCGATGCGGTTGATGAACTCGGGGCGGAAGTGGAGGCGGACCTGCTTGGTCACCGCGTCCTTGATGTCCGCCGGGTCGCGCTCCATGGACTCTAGGATGGTGGCCGACCCGATGTTGCTGGTCATGATGATCACCGTGTTTTTGAAGTTGACCACGCGACCCTGTGGCAGCGATTGCAAGACGGAACTGGTTACATGAGGTTGGAGGATGTTGCAGTAAATAAGGTGTGGCATGGGAGAGGAGGCTCGCGTTGCCCGCCCAGGACCTGGCTGGCAAGTTGCGTGCTTGAACGGCAGCATCGACTCCAGGTATCATTCATGCTCCCTGGCACCCCTGGATCTTTGCCACAAAACCAAGCATCCAATCAAACCTCCCTGGACACCCCACGCCAGGCTGCCCACCTGCGAGTCGGTGACCCGGCCGTCATCCAGGATCTGGAGCAGGATGTTGAAGACGTCGGCGTGGGCTTTCTCCACCTCGTCGAAGAGCACCACAGCATAAGGCCGGCGGCGCACCACCTCGGTCAGTTGCCTTTGTGTGGGTGGGAGGAAAATAGGAAGGTCTGGAGGATGTTTGGGAGGCAGTGCTGAAGCCCCCACATGCACCTTCAGTGAGATGATTCTGAGGACCCCCCTCCCCACACAAGCACACCTCCTCCACCCGACTCACCCGCCCTCCTCATAGCCGATGTAGCCTGGCGGCGCCCCGATCAGCCGGCTGACCGAGTGCTTCTCCATGTACTCGCTCATGTCCAAGCGCACCAGTGCGGCCTCGGTGCTGAACATCTCCTCCGCCAGCGCCTTCGCCAGCTCGGTCTTGCCCACACCCGTGGGCCCCAGAAACATGAAGGAGGCGATGGGGCGCGCGGGGTCGGACAGCCCCGCCCGGCTGCGCTGGATGGCGTCGGCCACGGCGGACACCGCCTCGTCCTGGCCCACCACGCGGCGGTGCAGGGCCTCGTCCAGATGCAGCAGGCGCTCGCGGTCGGAGGCGACCAGGCGCGCGACGGGGATGCCCGTCCACCGCCCCACGATGTCGGCGATGTCCGACTCGGTGACCTCGGTGTGCACCATGCGGTGGGCGGTGTCGGAGGAGGCCAGCGCGTCCTCCGCCGCCGCCAGCGTCTTCTGCAGCTCCATCAGCGTGCCGTACTTGAGCTCCGCGGCGCGGTTCAGGTCGTAGTCGCGCTCCGCCTGCTGGATCTCGATGTTGATGCGGTCAATCTCCTCCTTCACCGACTGCACCTTGGTCATCTCGTCCCGCTCCCGTTCCCAGGCGCTGGACAGCGCCGCCTGCTGCTCCTTTAGCGTGCCCAGCTGCGCGTCCAGGGACGCCAGCCGCGCCGCCGCGCCCTTGTCGCTGGGCGCCGCCTTGTTCAGGGACAGTCGCTCCATCTCCAGCTGGAGCACCTGTTGTGGGAAGGAGGAGGGAGGGTGTGTGTGTGTGTTACTTGTGTACAAGTGGGTGGCAAGCTGCCTGGGGGACAGGTCATGACTGACTTTGTACGACGGGGGACATTGGAATGAGAGACAGGGTCTGGAAGGCTCCTGGAGGGCTTGCTGCAGGGTGCGGCCAGTGCCAGGAGCACCTCCAGGGCTCGAGCAGGCAGCAGATCTTAGCCTTCCCCCCCCGAAACACCCACCCACCTTGCGGTCCACCTCATCCAGCGCCGAGGGCTTGGAGGTGATCTCCATCTTCAGCTTGGCGGCGGCCTCGTCCACCAGGTCGATGGCCTTGTCTGGCAGGAAGCGGTCGGCGATGTAGCGGTCGGAGAGCACCGCCGCCTCCACCAGCGCGGAGTCGGAGATCTTGACGGCGTGGTGCAGCTCGTAGCGCTCGCGCAGGCCGCGCAGGATGGAGATGGTGTCGGCCACGGAGGGCTGATCCACATACACCTGCTGGAAGCGGCGCTCCAGCGCCGCGTCCTTCTCGATGTTCTCGCGGTACTCGTCCAGCGTGGTGGCGCCAATGCAGCGCAGCTCCCCCCGCGCCAGCAGCGGCTTGAGCAGGTTGCCCGCGTCCATGGACCCCTCGCCCTTCCCCGCACCCACGATGGTGTGGATCTCGTCGATGAAGAGCACCACCGCGCCCTGGGAGTCCTGCACCTCCTTGATCACAGCCTTGAGCCGCTCCTCAAACTCGCCGCGGAACTTCGCGCCCGCGATCAGCGCGCCCACGTCCAGCGAGATCAGGCTGCGCCCCTGCAGGCTGGCCGGCACGTCCCCCGCCACGATGCGTTGGGCCAGGCCCTCCGCCACCGCGGTCTTGCCCACGCCCGGCTCCCCGATCAGCACCGGGTTGTTCTTGGTGCGGCGCGACAGGATCTGGATGGCGCGCCGGATCTCGTCGTCCCGCCCGATCACCGGGTCCAGCTTCCCATCGCGCGCCGCCTGGGTCAGGTCCCGCCCGTACCGCGCCAGGGCCTCATACTTGCCCTCCGGGTCCTGGTCGGTCACGGTGCGCCCGCCGCGCACCTCCTGCACCACCTCCTCCAGCCGGGCGGGGGTCAGCCCCGCGTCACGCAGGGCGGGGCCGCAGAAGCGCGAGTCCTCCGCCAGCGCCAGCAGCAGCGCCTCCACGCTCACGTACTGGTCGCCCCAGCGCGACTTCAGCTCCTGCGCGCGCCCCACCGCGCCCTCCAGCGACCGCCCCAGCACCTGCTCGCTGGTGCCGGAGACGCGGGGCTGGCGGCGCAGGAAGGCGTCGGCCGACTCCAGCAGGCGCCCAGGCTGCAGCCCCGCCTTGCTGACGATGCGCCGCGCCAGCCCGCTGGGCTGCTCCAGCAGGGCCTTGAAGAGGTGCTCCGCCTCCACGATTTGCTGGTTGTAGGAGCGCGCGACCTCGGGCGCCGACACGATGGCCTCCCACGCCTTCTCCGTGAAGTCGGTTTGGGAGATGCGCTTGCCGCCGCCGCCGGACGCCGCATGCGCGGCCATGGACCGCCGGGGTGGGGACGCGAGGCGCGAGGGGAGGAAGGGCGCGGCCAGGCGGGGTGCGGAGGAGAGGGAGGCCAGGCTGGAGAGACCCGCGGGCGCGGTGGTCACGCCAGAGGCGGCGGGGGAGGCCCTGAGGGCGGACAGGGGTCCGCTGCCGACACCCGCCCTCGATGAGCGGGGAAGTGGGGCATGGAGAGTCGCGGAGGCCCGCCAGGCAGTGCGCAGGGCGCGCACGGTCGATAATCGAACTGTTCCGGGGTGGAGTGGGGGGTGTGAGCGGGAGGGGCGGAGACATGCGAGCGATTGACGGCGTGCATGGACTGAGGGGGGCTCTACCATCGCCACTCACCCAGTGTGTTCATCTGAATGCCATGCACGTCCATAACAGGGCTGGGGAGTGCGGAATGTAGGGTCCTTTCTGGACCAGTCGACCTCGGTGCACCTTGCAAGCCAATGCCAAGTCCGAGTGTGATGGTACGATCCAAGTGTTGCAAGAGAACGAAGAATGCTGAACGAATATTGAGTCTGGAATGTGCTGCAGGGGGCCTTCGGCGGGGCGCATGGCGATGATGGGGTTTCTCGAGCGATCTCGCACCTTCCGGAAGAAGGGCGGTGGGTCCCCTTGCACCAGATCCGTGCGTCGTGGGTTCTGAGGATCTCCCTCTCATCGACATCTTGCGATACATTTCCGTCTCCGACACCTGAGGGCCACGGCGAACCAGTGAGAATACATCATCATACATGCAGTAGGTGTACTGCTATGTGGCAGCCTCATTGCTGGGAGCCAGGATGGGCTCAGCAACCAGCACATCCTCGATGACGGGGAAGACCACCTTGCCCTTCAGTCGGTCCTGCATCCAGAGCATGAGCTTGAGCAGGACTGGGAGCTGGGACTCCGCCTCCTGCAGTGGGGCAGCGGGGGAATGAGCTTGGAGGGGGGCAGTCGCGGTGGTGATCTGGACGAGACGAACGCTGCTGTGCGCCGCAGGAATCGATTGCAAGCCGCTCGGACCTCCACCTCTGCCCAGCGATCCCACCTCCAGCTGGGTGCGCAGGATGCAGGGGTTGACCTCGTCGGCCGTCTTCTGTCGCTGTGCGACGTCCATCAGGTCTGCCAGCGGACTGGTGCTCACATCATCGAAGATGAGCAGTGCCATGGTCCGCTCTGCGGACAGGGAAGGGAGCTATGGTACTGCAAGAACCCCACTGCCGGCTCAGCAGGCATCCAAGGGACATGAAACAGCCAGTCTGTCTACGAACAGGCATCGGCGAGGTTAATTTTGTATGATGCGCAGATGACACCCCTCCCTCCAAACATTATCGGAATTCAGCAGGCCCAGTCCCTCCAGATCAGGTCCGCAGATCCTCCGCACCCACCCAGTTCGAGGAGCAGGTTGGGGTTGTTCTCGCTGCGTGGTGCCAGGTACTCCTGCGCGTAGTCCAGGGCCGCCTCCGTCCTCCCCGCCCGGATCAGCTCTATGACCTGCTGCTGCTGGAGGTGGAAGAGCAGGCCAGACTGCTCCTCCAGGATCTGTGGGCCGGTGGGACCGTGGAATTTCCGGAAGATGCGGAAGTTGGGGACAGGTACGAGCCAGGGAGACTGCGCAGCATGGGCCCTGGTCGCTGGTTCTCTGCATTGCACCATCAGGAATACCTGGGGGTGGGCATCATTCAGGAGCTCCATGGCCAGCTGGATGTCCCCATCCTGGATGGCCTTTCGTATCTGTGTCCTCTCTATTGCCGAAGACACGTTGGCACTGGTCGTCGTGCCTGTCTCCCGGCCGAAGGCAACAGCAGCCTCATAGTAGCCCTGAGGTGGTGGGGGGTGGGGGGGTGAGGGACAAGCCAGTCAGAGTCTGCACAGACACCCGGGGAGGCAGGATGCCACCCCGAAACCCTCTGTCCCCACCTCCGTAACCAGGTAGTCCATCACGAAGTTGTTCATGCTGGTTTGCGAGGTTGAAGTGCTGCCCAGGATCGCGCGCCATTCCTTCTCGCTCACAGTCTTCTTGCCCAGCAACTGCAGGAGGCGCTCTGAGCGATTGCCACAGGTCAACAGTGCATTGGATCACTTCATAACACAAATCTCACCTCTGAAGAGCGCATTTCCGTGGGGACGGCCCCCCTGTGAGGCCTTACAAGAGGTGGACCCCTGTGACGACGGAGACGTACAGAGCCCACTTCGCTGCTACAGGGGCGTTCAAGGGGGCAAGCCAGTCGATTCAACGGTGTATGACTTCTGCAGGCCTCAGAGAGTGGTTGTTGCTTTGCTTTTATACCTGGTGATCGCGCTGAGGTTTGGTGTCGGCATCCGGTCACTAAAGGTGACCAATATTACGTAACCGGGCTCGTCCGTTCCCGGGAAAATCGGCCGAGTTCAAGGTAGCTTCGAAGCATCTACCTGCCGATGTCGTTCGTTTCATGCGAAGGGCGCCAGGCCGGACTCCTTCTCATCAACTCTCCCTGACTCTGCTGTGAAGCCAGCCCTTGAACCGCCACCCGACAGCCCGACACATTACGACTGCGGGACCCCCACCCTGGTGACGCCAGGCGTCCCACACAGGACGCCCCGGTTCTCCGCGTCGTCGGCCAGGGCCCTTGCAGTGCATGGTGGGGTCGGCAGCCACCCGAGTACCACATTTTCACCCCGGGACACCCACCTCGGTCCTGGACTCCTAGTCGGCCCGCTCGCCTTGCGATGTCGGCCGCAGAGGCCCTGCAAGGGCTCAAAGTGCCAACAGAGTTGCATGCCGTACCGCCCCGTCCCCTCGAGGTGTGTGCTCAGTGGGGGTGGCGAACCGCACCGCGGATGCCGTCGATGTTTGGGTCCGAGGCTGCGATGCCGCTGCACGGCCAGGGAGGGCCATGGCCCCGGCATGCACCCGTTCACATGTCAGGACTCATGAAGGGGGGGCACATGTGTGGTGGGTGCACGGCTCTGCGAAAGCCTCTGCCCTCCCCCATGCCACCCGCCCGCCCACTCCTCCACCCATCCGCAGGAGTATGTCCGGGCGCGCATGGGCCAGTTTGGGAGCGTGCTGGCCTCCCGGCTGAACCCCACGCTCAGCGAGCTTACCGTGCAGCGCGTGACGGCCGAGGTGCTCAACTCCCTGCCCCCCCCCGACTACTCCGGCGCTGCCCTGGAGACCAAGGAGTTCCAGCTCGTCTTCCGCCACGACTGCCTGTGAGCGGGCGGGCGGGCTGGTAGCGGTGTATATGAACAGGTCCATTTCCACCGCCGTTCGTCGTCGCCATCGTCGTGATGCTGAGGCGCTCCAACCCAAACAGTACACCATCATTCCTCTTCCCCCCACCGCCTGACACTGCACTACCCCCTTCCCCACCTCCTCCTCTCCCCCCCCCCCCCGCCCCCAGGAGTCTGGGGTGCCTGGACGCGCAGTGCGTGCTGTGCGAGCACAACCCGCACCGCCGTTGCAGCGTGAACTTCTCCAACAAGTACCTCGTGAATGATGTGCTGAAGGCCAAGTGCGACGCGCCCATCCGGGTGGAGGTGATCGACCGCCACACGGGCCTGCCCGTGGGCGAGGAGGCGGGGGACCTGGTGCTGGAGATGTGCATCCTGGACGGCAACCAGTACGACGCCAAGTGCGTGGACGCGGGGGAAGAGCGCGGCGACGACCTGGAGGCCTGCGCGCTGCTGCTGAACAACAAGGCGCAGCCGCTGCTGCTGGCGGGGGCCGGGGGCAGCCACTCCGCCTCCTCGCGGGTGCTGGTGCCGCTGACGCGCGGCGCGGCGGTGCTCCCTGACCTCCACGTCTCCGACTCCAGCGAGGCGATGCTGAGCGGGCGCAAGCCGCCCTTCCGCCTGCTGGTGCGTGCGTCTGGGGGCGTGGTGCCCGGCGTGGTGGTCCGCCACGCGGTCAGCGAGGGCTTCGTGGTGGCCACGCGCCGCACGCGCACGGCGGGCAAGGTGGAGATCCCCAACGTGGACGACCACGTGTCCAAGCTGGAGCACATGGGCAAGGAGACGGTGAAGAAGCTGCAGGATGTGCGCGGGTCGGGGCACGCGGCGGGCATCGACATCGCCGTCCCCGACAATGCCATCAACAAGGTGGGCGAGTTCCGGCGCCTGGCCCTGCTGGCGGAGGCGGACGGGCACCTGCGGCAGAAGCTGCAGCAGGTGCTCAAGCTGAGTAAGGAGAAGTGGGAGGAGGCGCGCGACCACGCCATGAAGGCGGTGGTGGCCGACAACCGCATGCGCATCTGGTACGCGGACAAGGCCAACATGGAGGTGGGCCTGCTCTTCACCTGCCGCCTGGGCAACGTGGACCTGGACCGGCCCGTGGGCCTGCTGACCAAGAAGGCGCAGGACGGCGCGCAGACCACCATGGATGCGACGCTCATGGCGCAGCAGACGCCCAGCCAGCGCGACCAGGTGCGCGCGCTGCAGCCTGCCGCCGTGGCCGCCTGGTGGCAGGGCGGGCACCCGGGCTGGGCCATCTACCCCGTGGACAGCGAGCAGTTCCTGGCCACGGGCGCGCTGGACTCCGTGGCCCTGCCACCCACCGACCACATCGTGGCGCCCACGCTGCCTGGCGGTGGCGCCGCCGGCGGCGCCGCGCCGGGTGGCCCGGGCGGCGGCTACCCGCCCCTGGGGCCGGGGTACCTGCCCGGCAACGAGGCGCTGCTGCGCGCCATGTCGCCCTACATGCCCGCGGGGGCCGGCGGGACGCCCGGCGCGCTGCCGGGGCCGGGCTACCCCATGCACCTGGCCTCCACGACGGCGCTGGCGGCAGGCAGCCCGCGCGACGCGGAGCGCAGCGCGTTTGCCGCCGCCGCCGGCGCCGCGCACGAGCTGCGCAGCCGCGACGCGTCGCCGCACCGCCCCGGCGGCGAGCAGCCGACGGGCAGCGGCGGCTCGGCCGGCGGCGGCGGCGGCGGCACGGGCCCCTCGCCCTTCGGCCTCCTCCTGTCGCAGCAGCACGGGGGGGAGCGGTCGGAGGGCCCGCATCACACGCCCTCCTTCTCCTTTGCCAACCTCCAGGGCCTGTTCGGGGGCGACCTGTCCAAGATCCCGGGCCTGGCCACGGGCCTGTCCCTCGGCCAGTTCCCCTCCATCCCCAACGGCATGATGAGCGGCGAGCTGGAGCAGCTGCTGGCCCAGCACGGCGGCGGCGACGCGCTGTTCGGCTCGGGGCGCGCGCCCTCGCTGGGCGGCATGAGCAAGCTGGAGAGCCTGGACCTGCCAGACCACCCGGGCTCCTCCTCTGTCGCCACCACCGCAGCCGACCGGGTGGGGGCATCGCTGTCCTCGGCCTCGCGTGGCGGCATGCCACCCAAGGTGAGTGTCCAGGGTGCTGGCGGAGGAGGATGTTTGTGAACGAGGCGCGGGGTGTCCAGTTGGGGGCCCAGCAGGGATGATGGGGATGGACGAGGTTGTCTGCCGGTGGTCCAGACATTTCCTCAGTGTCACGGCATAAAACCCCCCCCTCCCTTGCTCGAGCAATCCCCTGCACCCCCTCCACCAGGCGGGCGTGCACGCCACGCGGCGCAACAGCGGGCTGGAGAACATGACCTCCATCGAGCAGGCACTGGCGGACGTCAACGGACAGAGCGGCGCGCACGCGGTGATGGAGGCGGCCGCCCAGGAGTTTGTGCGGCAGCAGCTGACGGGGCACAAGCGACAGAGCAGCAGGCCCCTGCCTTGACATGGTACCAGATTCCTGGGACCCAACGGAAACTTACTGACCCCCCTATCAATTTTCCAATCACACCCTCTTACACCACGCATGCACTCCCAAGAGTGTCCTGTTGTGAATTGCCCAAGGTGACGAGCGCTGGTGCGCTGAGCAGGGCAGCGGCAGTCTCTCCCGGTGTCGGATCAGTTATGAGGGTGGTTAGGGCCGGCCCGCGATCGACCCCGGCAACAGGAATTTCCGATCGCGAACACCCTCAAGTCCGTGTTGCAGCGAGTCGCAACCACGTCCATGCCGGAGACCCCTGCCCACCCCGCCACACAGACGCATGGATACAGCATGTTATCTGCATCCAACATGCCGTTGGGACGCCCGTTCGTCGCGGCGTCCCGCTCCTGGCCGGGTCCCAGGCGCCTAGCGATCTCCAGGCACGCCCGGCGCGTTGGGCTCGAGCGCCTGCGCCCCCCTTCCCCCCTCCGAGAGCCCGCTCGCTTCTGTCCCCGCGCCAACTCGTCCAGTACTCCCTCCCCAGGGGGCTACGGCGGCCCCGGCAGTCGGTGGGTGACCACCACCCCACCCGAGCCCCCCCCCAAGCCCCCCACCGAGGTCCCTGCCGCCAGCACCCCCTTCGAGCTGCGCCCCTACCACTACGCCACCTTCCTGTGCCTGCTGGTGGGCGGCCTGCTCTTCCTCACCGTCCTGCTGTACGCCACCAGCGACGGGCTGGGCTTCCGCGGCGCCACGGTCAAGGTGATCAAGCGCTTCCTGAAGACCGTGGCGCTGCGCCAGGTGCTGGGCATCCTGGGCGCCATGACCTTCGTCCAGTACGGCCTGTCCCCGCTGCTCAAGTCGCTGCGCGGCGCCATGGACGCTCAGGGCCCCTGGGAGAAGTCGGCTGAGCACTACATCCTGCGCGAGCTGCACAAGCCCCTCAACTTCCTGTTCATCGTGGCGGCCTTTGCCACGCTGGCCGAGAACTTCCTGCCCCAGCTCATCGCCATCCCCAAGAGCGTGCTGCAGACCATGGTGCGCAGCACGCTCAGCCTCACCCTGGTCCTCTCCATCGCGCGTGTGGCGCTGAACATCAAGGCCCGCGGAATGCGTGAGGCCCTCTGGCTGCTGGAGCTCAAGGCGGAGACCACGCGCCAGCGCCGCATGGAGGCCATTGACAAGCTGGTCTCCCTGCTCATCTATGTGGTTGCCGCCGTGTTCTCGCTCCAGGCTCTGGGCCTGGACGTCAACTCCGTGCTGGCCATCGGCGGCGTGGGAGGCCTGGCAGTGGGTCTGGCGGGGCGGGAGATCCTGGAGAACCTCTTCACGGGCCTCATCATCCTCTCCAGCAACCCTTTTGAGGTGGGGTTGTGGCGTACTCGTCGTATGGGGGTGTTGGAGGAAGCTTTGGTGGGATGGCAGTTCGCCTTAGGGACTCTCTGCTGCCATCAGCTCGTCCTCCCTGCCTGGACCTTGGCCCTCGGATCCTACTCCAGCTGCCGTGTTGAAGGGGCCCCTTCGCAGTCCCCCCCCACCCCCAACCCCCAACCCAACCCCCAAACAAGAAGAGGATAATACCTCCAACCCATGTCACCCCCCTGCAGGTGGGCGAGGAGGTACTGTTCCGCCCCACCTCTGGCCAGGTGGTGGAGGGCATCGTGGTGGACGTGGGCTGGTACCGCACCACCATCCGCTCCTTCGAGCGCGAAATCTACACCATCCCCAACTCCGTCTTCTCGCGCACCGTGGTCCTCAACGTCACGCGCAAGGTCAAGGAGTGGCGCTTCTACGAGTTCCTGGGCATCCGGGTGGAGGACACGCGCCGCGTGGAGGCTGTGGTCAACGACATGCGCAAGATCCTGCGACAGGTGGGCGCGGGAGTGGGTCGGCGGGTGGGAGGGAGTGGGTCGGCGGGTGGGAGGGAGTGGGTCGGCGGGTGGGAGGGAGTGGGTCGGCGGGTGGGAGGGAGTGGGTCGACGGGTGGGAGGGAGAGTGTCGGCGGGTGGGAGGGAGAGTGTTGGCGGGTGGGAGGGAGAGTGTCGTCGGGTGGGGGAGAGTCCAGGGACTGGGCTTGGACGGCATCTGGCTGGTGGGGGCCGAGGGGCGGTGTGCATGGAGTCTGACCACACCCCAAACCCCCTCCATCCCGCAGGACACGCGCGTGATCCAGCGGCTGCACCGCCGCGTGTTCCTGGACAAGATCACTCGGGACCAGGCCACGATCTACACCTCCTTCTACGTGGAGGCCCTGAACCGTGACTCCTTCATGGCCAGTGAGTTTCGCGCTGTGCTTTGTTAGCTGGTCATCTTGGAGGGAAGGGTGGCCGCTGAGGGGCCATGGAGATCCGGGTTCCTGGGGGGCCCAGGCAACGCACACACCTCACGAGTGTGCCTGCTCGCCCCTTGACATTCGACCCCTCACCACACCATGATGACCTCCTGCCGCAGTCAAGCAGGACCTGCTCCTCGCGTTCCGCGACTGTGTGGAGAGGAACGGGGCTACCATGGCGCTGAACCGGCTGCAGCTGGAGATGCTGCCCGGCGGGTCTGGCAGCGGCAACGAGCTGGCCGCGCTGTCGCTGCAGGCGCCGACGGCGCCGACCGTGGACGCCACGCGCCTGCCTGCTCTGGCAGACGGTACGTCCGACGGGTCGGGGGACGACGACGAGAGCGAAACCTACCTGGACGCACGGGAGCCGTGCCGAGAGGGCGAGAGCGGGGAGGGAGGTGAGGGCGAGGATGCCGCCGCCTCCTCCAACATCGTCCCCGCCGCCTCGGGCGGCGTGGCGGGGCCGGGGCCGGCGCCCCACGACGCCCCCAGCGGCCCCGCGCCGCCCGCACAATCGCAGCCCAGGGTCATGGCGGCGGCCGTGGGCTCCGCATCGGCCTCCCTCTCCGCCACGGCCGCGGTGTTCACGCAGCCGGGGGTCCAACGCCGGATCAGCGGCGGCCTGGCAGACGCCGGGGATGCTGCGGCGCAGGCCCCAGGCGGCGTGTGAGCCTTGTTCGGCACGTAGATTATTGGGGGGGGGGGGGTCCCCGTCGCGGCGGTCTGCCACCCCGCGAGGGTGTTGCCCGTGTGCATCGGCACTCGACCACATTGTGTGCTCCTCTCTGACCCTCACCCCCCACACACGCATTGTATAACCCTCACCTGCACACCCATTGCCCCTGCCCCCGCATTGGCGGGCAGCCTTGGATCCAATTTTTTGAGAGCCACTCCCGCACCTGACGTCACACCTGACCTGACATGTAACAGAGAAGACAGGAGACACTGCCGGCGTAGAGTACAGGGGCACCACAAGAGGGTTTTCAGCAAGGATGTCGGGGTGAGCGTCGGGGAGTGAGCGGTGATGGTGGAGGATGTGGCAGAATGTCAACAGATGGGAGAGTTTCGCCTGGCATCTCAGGGGCCCGCGCTCTGCATGACCGGCCCCACTCATCGACCCACGCCTCAGTCGAAGCTCCACACGGAGTCGATGAGGTCCTGCAGCGGGGCAATGCGCCCCGCATGCTTGGCCGGCGGGCTGGCCTGCGGCGCCGCGGCCCAGGTCGCGGCAGCCCCGACCTCGGCGCCCTCGCTGGGCCTGGCGGAGGACGACGCCGTGGCCGCCTGCGAGGCGGCCTCGCCCGACCCATATGTCTGGCCGTGGACGCTGCGCTCGCTGCCGGCGGCGGCGGCGGGATTCTGCCGGTGACCCGCCGCCGCACCCGGCTTGGGCGGACCGGCCCCGGCGGGCGCCACCAGCTGGTACCCCGTCAGCCCCGTTAGCGCCGCCATGGCCTTGGCCTGGGCGGCGGAGGCCACCCAGGCAGCCTGCTGGCCGAAGACGCTGGTCAGCCAGCCCTGACTGGCGGCCACCGTCTGGTCGAAGACCTCGCGGTGGGCCGCCATGTACGGCTCGACGTAGCTGCCCCACACGTAGTCAGTGCCCTTCAGACCTGCGGTGCGTATGAGGGGGGTGCGAGCTGAGGAGTGTCTGCCATGACCGACATGGGTTGCCCCGGGGTGCTCCATGCCAGCCCCTGCTAGGGTCAGCCCTGTAACATCCCCCCCACCTCTGATAATCCACACAACCCCGCATGCTTGCCTGGGTACCACAGGAACACCACGAAAACAAGCTTCATCTCGTTGTAGAAAGGGAACCAGAACAGGAAGATGTCGACGATGGGCATGGCGGCAGACAGACATCCCATTATGCACCTGGGCCAGGGAGGGATGATGGAGGGGGTTTTGGCATGGACGGATTCCTGCGCCCATCGAACGGAGCACCTGGGGGAAGCTCAGGGCCCCAGCGCAATGCGCGAGACCCACGACGCACCAGAATTTGCACCATAGCACCATTCGCTCGGCATTAAGCTCCTGCAAGGCTATGTAGCAGGAGTAGGCTGGGTAGAGGTAGCCCACCACGCTCCTGGGTCATGGAAACGGGAGACGCGTTTGGGAGGGCGACGGTGTCTCGGCACGACCCCGATGCACCCACAAGCTTCAGGGTCCAGGGCATCGTTGGACGGAGGGCTTGATCACACATCGGGCGCAGCAGATCAAGCCTCCTGCGTACTCACATTACGAGCCTCGCGACAAACGTGCCGAGGAACATGCTTGCACGCTTGGCGGATCACGCTGCCGGCCTCCTCGCCATGCGAGCTTGGTAATCCACGATCTTTGAGTGGGATGACAGATTCTCACATGCGCGACCGAAGCACAAGAAGGGCGAAGTTGGCAAGGACGATGTATCGCTTGCGCCCTGCGGGTGCGGTGACATGATACTGCCTGCATCCTGGGGTTCTTCATTATGGGGTCCAACCCTCGGCATTGAGGCGCAGGATGTCTTGCATGATCACACGGCAAGATATTAAGGATAGAAAGGGTTTGTCATCCAAACCGGCATATTGACGCCAGGTTGGGATAACGGCAAAGAAGGGAGGCGGTCAGCATGCCAAGGTCACGGGAACTAGTCGGGGGAGTTTCTGGCCGGGCCTCTCTCAGTCTCCGCGCACATACACTCTGGGCCCTGCTGAGGCGCACCCTGTCTGGCGGTCTGCACGGGAGTCATGGGGTCTGGGCCGCCTCCATCGCGGCCTGCTCCGCCACCAGCTGGGTCAGGCTAGGGAAGATGCGCTGCTTCTTGGCGCTGCGCGCAGCCTCCGCGGCCATGTTGGGGTGGCGCTCCCCGGTCAGCGGCCATCGCGGCTTCACGTCCTCCCAGTCCCGCTCCACCACGGGGGCCGGGGGCGGCGCGGCCAGCGTCGCCGCCCCCGCCGCCACCGCCTCCTGCGCCGCCCAGGCCACCATCACGCCGTTGTCGGCGCAGAGGGCGGGGGGTGGAGCCACCAGCTCCAGCCCGGCGCGGGCCGCCACATCGGAAAGCGCGGCGCGCACGGCGGCGTTGGCCGCCACACCCCCTGACACCACCAAGTGGCGAACGCCGGGGTCGGAGGCCGCCGCCCATTGCGCCGCGCGCGCCGTGCGATCGGCTAGGTGCCGGACGGCCGCCCGCTGGAAGCCTGCCGCCAGGTCGTCCTGGACCTGCATGGCCGTGTGAGCGCGGGGTGGGTGGGTGAGGCTGGTAGAGCGTCTGAAGGGGCGTGCAGAGAGAGCTGGAGAGTGTTTCCATCATTGCAACGCTGGCGGGCTGGGGAGAGACGACCGGTGGTTTGAACCATCCAGTGGATGGTGCTGCACACGTCATGATACCCATGTACGCAGGACGACAAAGTCGTCCTGCCCGGTGCACACCCGAATGCTTATCCCCCCACACATTAACACAAACATTCCAGCTCCAAGCCCCCACCTTCCCACGGAGCGGCTGGCCCTCGGCGGGGAGGTGGCGACCGGCGGCCACCCTCACCGCCGTCTTCAGGCCGGCAAAGGAGAAGTTGCAGTTGGCCTGGCGGGCCATGGGGACGGTGAAGGGGAAGGCAGCGGGGTCCCCCCGCGCCGCCGCCGCCTCCACGGCCGCGCCGCCGCTGGGCAGCAGCGGCAGGCCCAGCATGCGCGCCACCTTGTCGTAGGCCTCGCCCGCGGCATCGTCCAGGCTGGTGCCCAGCAGCGTGTAGCGCCCCACGCCGTGCACCAAGGTCAAAAGGTTGTGGCCCCCGGACACCAGCGCACAGAGGTAGGGGAATCGCACGCCGGAGCCCATGCGCGCCATGAGCGCATGTGCCTCCATGTGGTGCACCGGGATCAGGGGCAGGCCGTGCGTGGCCGCCAGCTGGCGCGCGGCGCGCACGCCCACCTGCGGGCCGGCGCGGGGTGGTGGTGGTGGTGATGGCGCGTGGGGGGGGTGGGTAGAGCGGGAACGAACAGCCATCTCGTGCTCGACTTCCTTGGCCACAGTGGCTCACGTGCCAGGGGTGTGGGAGGCCGACGGCAGGGTGCGGCGATGGCATCCAACCTTCAGGGACCATGATGACATCACACCAGCCAAAGGCCAGCACGCCTGATGCATGAATGACCCCGACACTATCAGGCCGAGAGAGTCAGTCCTCCCTCGCGCCTGCGCACCTTGAGGCACAGGCTGAGGCCGGGCCCGACGGTGACGGCGACGGCTGCCAAGTCCTGGGGCCGCACCCCGGCCTGATCCAGGGCCTCGGCTATGCATCCCTCCATGGCGGCGGCGTGCGCCTCCTGGGCCAGGTTGGGGACCACTCCGCCCCAGGCCGCGTGGATGGCTGCCTGCCCTGCTAACGAGGCTCCCAAGATACGGCCATCCGGGGAGACGATGCCCACTCCCGTGTCGTCGCAGCTGCTCTCGATGCCCAGAATCAGGCGCGGAAGCGCTGGCGGGGGAGAGGTTGGGGGTGGAGCGCTTCCAGGGGCAGTGATCTGGGGCAGCAGGCGTGGGAGTCGGAGGAAGGGTACCGGCACTGCATGGGGATCCGATAGCCTGTGTGCACCACATGCGAGCGCCCATCGCCACCAAGATCGCCCTTTCCTCTACCTCTAGATGTGCTGTGCACCCGAACATGCGCACGAGATCCATGGCAACGCAGGAAGGGGCGCAGAGGGGTGAACGCTCGGATGCAGACCCCTCGCATCAGGGCAGGCGAGGGAGCCGCACCCAGCTGAAATACCCAGAAATCGTTCGAGGTGCACCTTATGCTAGCATATCGCCAGCCAAATTGTGTAGACGGTGCGGTGTATTCAAGGCCCATCCCCTGTTCCTCCATTACGTGGAGGGCTCCGCAGTACCCAGCAGAGTTTTGATGTCCTATTAAGAACCCTGCCGAGAGGGAGCTCCGACTGTTCTCCCCCACTGCCCCTTGAGACACGGTGCAATTTGACTACTGACATAGCTTGGAATGTACAGGTGTCGCAGGGAAGACAACCCTGCGGGATAGCCAAGGGGAGCGCACGGCTGGAAGGATGTCAGCTCGGGCAAGCCTGTTGGCGGATCTTCGGGAGGCAGAGATCGTTTTGGCAACAAAGCGGCCTCGACGGCCCATCAAAGCCATTGAATTCTTTGGGCAATCCCTACGACAGGTAGGACCCCCTTCACCGGTGTGTGGTGCTGGAGAGGGTGGGTCGGGGATGGTCCCGGCTGCGCGTCCGAAAGGCTCCTCCCTGCACCCAAACTTTGGTTCCGACCTAACACACCGCTACAAAGCGTGACCATGCGTGCATTACATCGGCATAAGGGGCGCATTGTCCGTCCCTGCCTCCCGTCTGTCGTATCGTATTGGACTGCGCATGGTTTGGACATCGAACTGAGGACTAGTTTCCTGTGGTGCTCTTCCCTGGTTCGCCCAGCATCACCTGCGTTAATTGCTGGCCACCTCCCTGGGCTAAATTCTCCAGCTCACAGTCTCTGCCCCACGCTCGCCACCCATCAGCGGTCCTCTCTTCCGCCATGCAGGAGTACAATGCGAATATCGACACACCAGAGGGCCAGGTCGAGTTTCATCGCTTCCTAGTGAATGTGGGTACCGGCGCCCATGGGGTGAGGGTTTAAGGCAGGCATTCATAGCCAGGGAGATTTGTTCTCCCTTGATCCAGCAAGCTCTGGACTTCCCACTCCACGGGCATCACCTATCCATCTCCTAACCAACCCTTCCCTCACGGCCCTCCCCCAATCGCGTGCAGGCTTGGCAGGAGACCCCTCCCCAGAAGCGCGACCTGTACGAGCACGCAGCCGCCAACGACGAGCAGCGCTACCTGCGCGAGCAGCACGACTACAAGGGCTGGCAGCAGCACGCGCTCAACCTCCAGCGCCAGCTGGCGACCGACGGCGGGGGCGTCCGCCCCGGGCTGGACCCCTACTACGCCCGCCTACTTCAGCAGCAGCAGCAGCAGCAGCAGCATTACATGCAGCAGCAGCAGCCGCAGCTTGGACCTTCTAGCCAGGCCAGGGAGTCATCCCTGAGCCCCACCTATATGCAGCAGCAGCAGCAGCAGCAGCTGGGGAGGCAGCAGCAGCAGCAGGGGTACCCCAGCTTCCACGAGCAGCGGGCAGCCCACGTTCAGCTGCATGCCCAGCGACTGGCGGGCACCGGCTCCCCAGACGTCGGGCCGACGGGGCACGGGGCACCTGGGCCAGGGCCGGGCCCAGAGTGGTCTGTGGACTCGCGCGGCAGCCACCCGCAGCAGGGCCAGGGCTGGGCCGGCGGCGCGCCGGGCGCCCAGGCGCACGCCAAGCGCGAGCTGCCCGGCGGCAGCCCCGACCCTGGTGACGCGCTGGCCGCAGGCCCCCCCGCCAAGCGCCCGACGCCGTCGTCGGAGCCGGCACCGGGGACGAATCCCCCGGGGGCCCAGGCCACCGTGGCCGTGACGTGCGGCGCGATGCACGGCCGCCTGCACATCGCCGACCAGCGTGTGGCGTGCGAGTGCCAGGCCTGCGAGTTGAAGCCGGAAGCGGAGCGCCTCATGTCCTGCACCCAGTTCGAGGTGCACGCGGGCGCGGGGTCGGCCAAGAAGTGGAAGACCTCGCTCAAGGTGCCGCCGGGGGCGGAGCCGGAGGTGCGGGCCGGCGGCAACGGCATGCCCATCGGGCGCTGGCTGGACCTGCGCGGGTACGAGGCGGGACGCGCCGGGGCTCGACCCCGGCAGGAGGGGCAGGGCGCGGGCGGCGGCGCCGGGGCCTCCCCGGCCCAGCCCGCGACGGAGCGCCCGGTGCGGGCGGTGCAGCCGCGCCGTGCCGACTCGACCTCGGCCTCCTTCGGGTCGCGGGCGGGGGAGGCCGAGGAGGGCGGGCAGAGCGCGACGGCGGGGCAGTTTGTCAAAGCGGAGAGCGCCGCGCACGGCGGCGCGGCGGCGGCGGCGGCGGCGGCGGCAGGCAGCACGGCCACCAAGCCCAACCCTGCCGCGCAGCTCGCGGCCGCCGCCTGGACGGCGGGGATGAAGCGGCCCCCAGGTTGGAAAGGGGGGAGCCGCAGGGCCTGAGGGGCCGCTGGTTTTTTTGTGTGTATTGGAGGGGAGCGCTTGGGCGGGCAAGGGGCTGTAGGCAAAGTACGGGCGAGGGTAGGTGGTGCTTGGCAGTCCTGTCGTGGAGAAGACTGTTGCCTGCCTCGGACTTGGCAGCCCAACAGCTGTGCTGGGCAGCCAGGCCGGCTGCATGTGTCACTGTCCCGGCTCAACTGTGAACAAGCAACCTTTCCCTGCCGCTGACCGCTCCGACCCCCGCCCCGCACAGGCCGCCCGCCCAAGGACGGCATCTACCGCCCCGAGCGCCTCGCAGCCGCTGCCGCGGCCGCCGCGGCCGCCGCTGCTGCGGCCGCCGTCATACAGCCCAAGGTGGAGGGGCGAGAAGCCCCGGCCTACCAGCCCTGGCTGGACATCCCAGAGGGTGAGGCGGCAGGGTGGAGGTCTGTTGGCCTGATCCTGGCAGGGCGATGGGTGACTGCCTGGTCTGCGGGGTGCTGCCCCTGTCATCAATCACGGGTGTGGCTCGGGTGTCATGTCCCTGCGATCCTGCATTGCCCACCCCAGCATTCTGAGTGCAATACCACGAAGAAATATGCAGCGCCTCCAGCGCGGCGTCCCTCCTCCTTCGGCCTACTCCCCCTTTTCATTCCCCTTCACACACACGCTGACCGTCCCCCCCCCCCCCTCCTCCCTCCGCCGCAGGTCGCTGCCACGTGATCCGGGTACGGTGGGCGGGGGAGCGCTGCGCGGTGTGCGACGCCGATGCTGACACCGACTTTGACCAGCTGGTCTCCTGCGACGGCTGCGGGCTGACCGTGCACCAGAGCTGCTATGGCGTGCCCGAGGCACCCGCCCAGGACGACCTCTGGTTCTGCGCGGCCTGCGAGGCCGGGGACGGGCCCGACCCGGGCCGCGCCGCGCCGCCGCAGTGCTGCCTGTGCCCCGTGGCGGGCGGCGCGCTGCGCCCCGCGGCGGTGGCGCCCGGCCTCTGGGCGCACCTCACGTGCATGCAGTGGATCGGGGAGCTGTCGGTGGGCGACATGGCCAGCATGAGCCCCGTGCTGGGCATCGAGGCCATCCAGCGCGAGCGCTGGGAGCTGACCTGTGGCGTGTGCCGCCAGCGCTGCGGCGCCAAGATCCAGTGCCGCGCCTGCTACGCGGCCTACCACCCGCTCTGCGCGCGCGTGGCGGGGTACAGCATGGAGGTGGTGGAGGCGGGGGCGGGGGAGGGCGTGGCCCTGGTCAGCTACTGCGCACGCCACGCGCCGCCCGCGCCACAGCTGGCCGCGGTCAAGCGCCTGGACGCGGCGGAGGAGCGGGGGGACCTGCCGGACCTGGCGGCGGCGCCGCCGGCGCTCTGGAATGCGCAGCCCTTCGAGCTGGCGCCGCGCTGCGCGCTGCCGCGCTGCGAGGCAGGCGCGGCGCGGTGCCAGGCCGTGCTGCGCTGGCACCGTCAGAGCCACGGCACGGGGACGGGGGTGTCCTCCACCGCCGGGTTCTGGATCCCGGAGGCACCGGCCGCGCCGCCTCCGGGCAAGCCTGGCGAGGGGCCCTGGGCCCCCTCCCCCGCCCGCTCAGCGCAGGCGGGGGAGGGGGGGAGGGCGGGCGCGGCGGCGGGCGGGGCGCGGGGCCGCGCGCCAGCTTCTCGCGTGCAGGGGCCCAGCCCGGACCCCAGGCCCTGGTCCTGGAGCAAGACCCCGACCCCGTGAGCCGGGATGATTACGTTTGGGGTGCAGGGGGGGGGGAGGCGGCAGGGTGGGTGTGAGAGTCAGGGGCACTCTCGAGCGTGGGCGCAAGCGGCCGCCCCTTCATACACGGCAGAACGCCTGGGTTGCAAGGATGCCAGACGAGCCTCAACACCCCGCCATGCTGCTCCCACATGCGACGCCTCTGCCCACCTTTACTTCACTCCAACCTCACACCCAGGTCGAGCTGGTGCCGCTGGAGGAGGGCCTGCTGGAGGAAATCACCTTCACCTGCGGCGGGCGGCACGCGGTGCTGGCCCTCAGATCACAGGTTCGTGTGGGGGAGAGGAAAGGGTGACCAGCACGGGCGTGGCATGGGATGAGGGATGGCGCGGCGGGGCAGGAGGTCCTGGAGCCCACCGGTATCGGAGACGGCGCTGAAGATGTGGCTGGGACCTCCAATCGCATACCCTTGCCCTCACCCGCCCGTAAACCTCCTGCAACCGTACTCGCAGCGTGTGCTGTACAACGGCCAGGAGATGGCGCCCTCGCGCTTTGAGGTCATGTGTGGCAAGCCGGACGCGAAGAAGTGGAAGATGTCCTTCTGGCGCACCGACGCCGACGGCGAGCCCATAGAGGTGAGGGGGCGGCTGATTAAGCCATGCTCCGACGGCAAACCGGCCAAAGTACGCATGCTTGCTCTCCAGACACAATGTCCACTGCTCTCCTCATTCATCAACCCCCTCACACAGTCCATGCACGACTGGCTGTCCCGCTATGGCCTGGATCGCAAGGCGCTGGATGCCCTGGCCCGAAACTTTGCGGCACATGAGGCGTACGAATCCCATGTTGCAGGCACAGGTGGGTGCAGTGGAGGTCGTTGGTGGGGTTGGCAAGGTACAGGTGGGCTACCGTCGTGTGGAGTAGAAGAGGAACTGCACTGCTTGCCAGCAACACGAGGTTGCGCGGTGACCTGCAGCCCTGGGGACGACAGGCCCCCCCGCTTTAACTTGAAGCCTGTCTGCTTATTTGCGTGCGTGCACCCCCACCCCTGCGTGGCTAGAAACTTATCCCCCACCCACGCTGCAGTGGCTCTTGTGCTGGAGGACATCCTGCTGTCCTTGGGAGCATCCCCTTACGATCCCAGTGACGATGATGAGGGATCTGGCGGCAAGGATGAAGCCAGCGGCGATGAGGCTGGCGAGGAGGCGGCGGTCCACGACGAGGCCCAGGGGGAGCAGCCAAGGGCACCAGGGCAGGAGCTTATCAGCGGCGTGGACGAGCCTGTGCCCCCATTAGCCGCCACCCAGCAGTCTGCCGCGGCCGGCGAGGGTGAGGAGCCTGGTGTGAATGATGAAGCGGACGAGGATGAGGAGACGGACGAGGAGGTCACCGAGGCACCGCTGGAGCCGGAGCGGGGTGCGCCGTCAGAGGATCGCCCCGGCGCCCATCACATGGCTGAGAGCGGGGATGATGAGGGCCCTCAGTCGCCAGCGCACGAGGCATCCCCGGCCGCGAGTGCGCAGGAGGGCGAGGACAGCGAGGGTACGCAGCCGTGCTCTCCTGTCTCGGGCCCCGGCACGAGCGCCGGTGCCACCTCCGCCGGCGCGAGGGCATGGGATGCCCTCGGCGAGCGTGGGGCAGGGGAGGAAAGCGCGGGCATGGACGTGACGGTCCAGGGCATCGAGGCGGATGCTTTCCCGGGCGAGCCCCCGGCCGAGGCCAAGCTGGACCCCGGTGCGTGAGCGAGTGGGGGTCTTCAGATGGTGTGGTGCCATGAGACCCAGGAGATAGAGTCAGCTGGTGCAGTGAGGCGGCCGCACCCCGTCTTACCCACCTCACCACACAGCAACCCCTTTGGCACCCCCTTCACACAGGAACCCTGGTCCCATCCGCGCCCGTCATTCTTGCCGGTATGTGGGTGCGGGTTTACTGGCCGGATGACAGGGAGTGGTACCTTGGTCAGGTGGTCGGGGAGGATCCTGCCAACCCAGCTTCTCATCGCGTGCTCTACAAGCTGGACGGAGAGGTGGGTCCTGGGTGATGAGCACACAAGGATAGAGTGTGAGGGGACTGATTGCATGAGCAAAGAGTGCTCGGGCGCACCCGTCCTGTAGCTGTCTTTTGGTGCAGGTGCCGCGGGTAGTCGAGCATTCATGTTCTGGGATTTGCAAGGCGCCGATTGCTCATTCGGAAGCCCGATGCCGACATCAAAGGAACCCCCTCCCTACCTCACTCTCAAAACTCACAGGAGGAGAGCCTGGACCTGCGTGCGGAGGCCGCCGCAGATCGGCTGCAGGTCCTGCCTGGGTCGGAGGAAGCCGCCTGGCCCGCCGCCCACGCAGCCCAGCCCGACGAGCGGCCACAGGCCGGCGGCCTGGCGGGCCCCCCCCGGCCCCACGCCAACCCCGCCGACGCGCCGGAGTCGGTGGAGGTGGTCTGCCGCGGCCTGCAGGGCACCTTCTTCCCGCAGCGCCTGGTGGTCCGGCTGGCCAATGGCACGGAGGTCTCGCCCACCGAGTTCGAGCGCCTGGCGGGGCGCGGCGCGGCCAAGAAGTGGAAGTCCACCATCCGCGTCGACCGCGGCGGCGGCCAGCCGGGCCTGACCGTCCAGGACTGGCTGGTGCGCAACGGGCTGGAGTCGGCGCGGCCGCCGCGGCCCAGCCGCGGCACGCTGGAAACCGTGTCGCGGCGCCAGGCCGCGTCAGCAGGCGCGCGGCAGGGGCCCGGTGCGCCAGGGTCCAGCGGGGGCCCCGCGCGCGACTCCAGCGTGGCGGCCAAGACCGGGCACCGCGAGGGCTGTGCCTGCGTCATCTGCAAGCAGACGCGGCGGGGGGGGGGCACGGCGTCGGCGTCCCCGGCCTCGTCCGCGCCGGCGCGGGCGGGGGCCGCCCGGCGTGGCGCGCGAGGAAGCAGGCCTACCTCCGCGCGCTGCCACACCTGGTCTCCTGCGGCGGGCTCAGCCACAAGGTTGGAGGCGGACTTTGGATCTGGGTTGGGGTGAACATGCAGGAGGTGGGAGCTTGGATGAGGAACCATGGGTCGAAGCTGTTGCAAGGAACGGACTTTTGGAGGCGCCTGGTGCCTAGCCTGCGAGTGGGATGTCTGCGCACCTGGTGCGCCCAGGAAGGTGGCCTCGGCCGGGTTGCACGGCCGAGCACCCTCCCAGGGCGCATCCGTCCCACCATGCCAATGGGCCCTCCCGTCCACGTTCCAGCCAGCTCCAGACGTCGTCCGCCTTGCCCCCTCTCACACTCATTCCTTTGCAGATGCACGAAGTGCCGCTGTCGCGGTGCTGGACGCCCGAGGACTGGGCCGGACACCGCGTGCGGCAGGCGCTGTGGGACCGCAAGGAGGGCAGGGCGCCGGGCGGGGGCGCGGACGTGTTGATCCCGGGCACCACCACGGCCGTCGTGAGCGGCGGCGGGGGGGGGGTGGTCCTGGACGCACCCTCAGCCCCCATCTCGCTGGGCTCCCTTGTGGCCCCGGCGCGCGCCCTGAGCCTGAAGGAGCGCCTGGAGATCTGCGACAGGACCGAGGGTGCACGGCTGGCGTTTGGCAAGGTGGGGACTCTGGTGGGTGCGGCAGCGTGATCTGGAAGGAGGGGCTCCTGTGGGAGGGAATGAGTGGGGCATGGGTGTTGCGAGCGGGAGGGAAAGTGTCAGAGAGGGGGGACGTATGGCTGCCGGTGAGGGGCGGCAGCGGGGACGTAAGCTGCAGGTCACGCACCCAGTCTGTCCCCTCCATATGGAGGCGCGAGACTGCTGTGAACTCCTTCTCACCCAGCCTCCACCCACCCAACACCCCTTCGGCCATGATTACAGTCCGGCATCCATGGCTGGGGCATGTTTGCCAAGGTTCCCATCAAGCAGGACAGCATGGTCATCGAGTACAGGTGAGGGGGTGGTGGTGGAAAGGAGGGAGCGGGGGCGCATGGGATGAGGCCGAGCACTTGTAACTATCGTGCCTCACGACCATCGAGTGCAAACCCATGGCGAGCATGCTCGATTCTCCACATTCGCAGGGGCGACCTCGTGCGCCAGCCCCTGGCAGACCTGAGGGAAGCGCAGTACAGGGCCAACGGCAAGGACTGCTACCTCTTCAATCTGGACGACGCCATTGTCATAGACGCCACCATGTGCGGCAACTGGGCACGCTTCACGGTGAGCGGAGTGGCAACGGGGTTTGGCGGGGGTGGTGGTGATCATGGATAGCGGGGCGGCCTTGGCCGAGTCACGCGAGCGCCGTGCGCTGCGATCCTCGTTCCCATCCCTCCACCCCCACCCCACCCCCCATCCCTGCGCACACAGAATCATTCCTGCAACCCCAGCACCTACACCAAGATCCTGAACATCGACGACCAGCCACGCCTCGTCTTCTTTGCCCGATTTGATATCCAGTTGGGGCAGGAGGTGACGTACAACTACAGGTGCGCCTGGTGGAGCAATGGGCGTGGGCTGGTTTGGAGAGGGGCCAGCACAGAAATCTACGAAGAGAGGAGGGGAAAGAGTGTGATGTCATAGGGTCACTCATGCACCCCTCAATCATCACAAATCACATCCTTTTGTTTGCTCAGGTTCAAGAGGGGGGAGGGCGAGGAGCAGCTGCCCTGCTACTGCGGAGCCCCCAACTGCACCGGATTCCTGAACTGATCCCGGCTCTGCTCATGCCTGTACTGTTGTACAGACACAGCGTTGCATCATGGGAAGACAGCGAGGCAGGGGGGTGGAGAAGGTTTAGGGGAACAAGGAAGGGTGCGGGGGACTCGGTACGGGCCTTCGAGAAGCATTCTTCTGCGCAGGGGTCAAAACATGTCAGCGCCGGCGGCGTGCGGCCGGCGCGGCCTTGGTCACCCCCCCGCCCCGCACGCCGCGCATTGATGCGCGGCTGGCCCCCGCCCGGGGTCCGGCAACGACGGAGCCGACGCGGGCGGGAGAACTTCGCGTGGCGCCGGCTGGGGCCGCCGCCGAGTCCACCTTGGAGCTGGGGCGTGAATTCGCACGGGTGAGAGCCGCGTCCAGCGCAGGACTCGTGCCGGGCTCCTCCGACTCCTTCGCCGGTGGGGGCGGGGTGGCTTGGGCCCCCGGCGGTGCCTCGCCGGCGAGGACGACCGACTCCGGTGCCGCATCCTCTCCAGCGCCAGGCACCAACGCCGCCGGGCTGCTTCCGGGACCCTCCCCGCCGGCTCCGGGGTCCGACGCCTCACCTCCGCCATCCAGCCCACTCGCCAGCCCCTGGCCTGCCCCCTGGCCCCCCGCCTCCGCGCCGGCCCTGCCGTGCAGCTCCTCCAGCGGCACGTACTTGAACTTGGGCGGCAGGCGGCTGTTGGCTGCCGCGGCCTCGCGTGGCGTCATCACGCGCTCGCGGTCGATGCGCAGCGCCGCGGCCGCCCCCGCGTTGCCCGCCGCCGCGTCGCCCGGCGTGGCGATGGCAGCCAGCGAGGGCGGCACGCCCAGCGGCGCGGTCTGCGCGGCGGCCGCGGCGGCCGCCCGGCCGCCCGCGGCGGCGGCCTTGCCGC